TTAGACACAGGTGTTGAAATCTAATGTTTTTTTTCCATTAACTGGATTTTAGGAAAGTCAGTAACCCGCCTCAGCAAATACAACCTTACCCAAATTATTGGTGCTGTTGTTTACTTAATTCAAGTGGAACCTGAACTTGTTGAACAGATTGGAAACTATTCAACAGGAAATATATAGATCCGCTCTCGCCCCCCCCACTTCCTTGGCTTTCAGGTTACTGGCTTATTTTGTTACACTATGGCAGTTCAGTGAGCTGCCAGGAAAGCATGCTTATTTCTTTATTGGATTAACTTGTGTCCTCTTCTGGACCAGAGGCTATAGGCAGGTTAAAGCTGTAAGAAATTAATTTCAGTTGTTAATTCTTAACTGGTGTCAGTCAAGAGAATCTATTTAGGGTGGTACGATGTATTAAAGATACACTTTCCTGATATATTACACTTGGAAAATCTTCTTGAGTACAGCATCACAAGAAGGCTCAGAGACTGTCCTCCTAGTTCACGGTTTTAAAAGTGGAGAAGGCCAGGGAAGGACAGCAGAATGAATAGCCAAGGGTATAAAAGAGGGAGGGGTATTTATAAAACCGAGTGAATGGGAGGAGGGAGTGGGCTGTGAAACAAAGTGTAAATTTTTCAAAGGCAGGGGCATAGGTTGACATTGTTTGTTTCATCAAGGTCAGTGCAAGCTTCTGCCAGTAGAAGCAGTAAAATTAGGGAGAATAAATGAATCCTGGCAAAGAAACTTCCAAAATCTGGGCTCTAGCCCTGCCTTCCTCAACTATCCAAATCCCCCTTTTCACAACTCTCTGGTCTCTTGGCTTCAGATAAGAAGAGAGTTAACATAGCATGGCAATTTAACTGAAAGAAGCCTCTTTTGCTACAGAATCCTATGGCTGTTAAACTCCAAATTCATGAAAGCCTCTGGTGCCTGCGACTTTATGTCCAATATGGCAGTTCTTTAAATCTTTTCAATTCAATATTCTAGGGACCTGTTAAATACTTTCAAGGAGGTGGGAGGGAGGCTACTATTCCCCCCCCCCCCAGCAACAATGGGTCAAAGTATAAAACTTTTACATTCTTTCTCCAAGCAGTTCAAGTCAGCATATAAAGGGGTATGTTGTTATATTGCTAACAAAACTCTGGGGTGGGTTAGACTGAGAAAACCTGCCCAAGGGTTTTATAGATGAACTGTGATCTGAAAATGGGATTTCCACTGCCACGTCCAATGAGGTTGCCAACATTTACTTGTATCCTTAATGTGTGGAAACTACAGATGTGTAGCTTTTTTCACTCACTTTATCTCCATGTCAGCAAGAACTCAACTTCTCAAATTTCTGCATGTTGGGCTGCCAATAAAGGCCGAGAGACAGGAAACATGTGCACCCCTAAAGCCCACTATTCTACCCATTGCACTGCATTGTCTTCAAACTTGTCCTGCACACCAGATTCTCCTGGACCTTCAAACCACAATTCAAAGCAGCTGTAATTGCTGCAGTGGGAAAGTTTTTAATTGCAGGAGCTCATCATGACAGCCCCATAATCCACATCTCTCCAAGGAGAGTCCCAAACAATAAACAGCTCTGTCTCTCTACATATACACACCAAAGGACAGCAGTACAGAACATAATATCCAATTTATTACCATCAGAGCCGACAGAAACAGAATAATGAGCCGCCAAAGGGTGATGGAGTGTTTAGCATGTTGAACTTCCGCTAGATGACTTGGGTTCACATCCTTGATCAGTCTTAAGCTTTCAATTAGAAATGCAAACAATCTTGCAATGATGTGTTACAGTTTAAATGGTTAGCAGGCAGTAGGAATCCCATCTACGAAAGTATTCAGCCTCTGCTTGACTATTTCTCCTCATTCTCTGACTTCCTCCTCGTTAATATATAGCAAACAACAGAAAAACTTGCAAGTCTCATTATTCATTTGCAAGTGCAAGACAGATCCACCACCTACCCTAGCATTCTGGCAGATGACATAATTGTTACTGGGACGCAAGTAAAGCTGTGATGAGAGGATTCTTGATACAACAGAACGCAGTAAAAAGAAGGACACAAAATGAGAGAAAAGATAAGATTTTGGACAAAATAAAAGAATTAGAGAAGAAGTTAAGACTAAACCCGAAGTCACAGCCAACTCTGAGAGAAATTAAACTCTACCAAGTACAATACTCAAAACTGATAAACCAGGAAATAGAGTGGAAGATTAAATTAATGAAACAAAATACGTTTGAGTCGGCGAATAAATGTGGAAAACTGCTAGCTTGGCAGCTGAAGAGAAGACAAAAATTAAACACAGTTACAAATTTAGAGATTGAAGGAAGAAATATTCAGAATCCTATGGATATTAGAAAGTGTTTCCAGAGATACTTTAAAAAATTATACACTCAAGGGCCGCAGGAGGAGGCTGAGATTAAACGATTTTTGGAAAAAAATGGACTACCAAAATTGTCACAAGAAAACAGGGCAATCCTGAATTGCAAAATAACATGACAAGAGATTGAACAAGCCATTCAAAACATGCAATTGGGCAAATCTCCAGGGCCAGATGGGCTGACCTCCAAATACTACAAGACACTAAAAGATTATTTGATACAACCTTTGATGGAGGTCAGCAATGAAATTATGGAAGGGAAGAGGGCGCCGGAGTCGTGGAAGGAAGCGTTTATCACATTGATACCAAAGTCAGAAGCTGAAAAGACACAACTTAAGAACTATCGCCCCGTCTCTCTTCTAAATGTGGATTACAAAATATTTGCAGATATTTTGGCAAATAGACTTAAAAAAGTTCTAAATGAAGTAATTCACAAGGACCAGGCTGGCTTTCTCCCAGGCAGACATTTGTTTGCTAATACAAGGAATATTATTGACATTTTGGAGCTTTTGCAAACAGATATAAATACAAAAGCAGTTTTAATTTTTATAGACGCGGAGAAGGCCTTTGACAACATCTCCTGGAAATTTATGAAGGGAAATCTAAAGGAAATGGGAGTGGGACGGGGCTTTGAGAATGGGATTGAGGCGATATACTCAGAGCAAAAAGCTAAACTGATAGTTAATAATGTGGTTACAGAAGAGTTCAAAATTGAAAAAGGAACACGACAAGGTTGCCCTATCTCCCCTTTGCTATTCATTTCGGTCCTGGAAGTGCTCTTGAATATGATTAGAGGGGACCGGTTGGTGGAAGGGATTCAGGTCGGAGAGAAACAGTACAAACTTAAAGCTTTTGCAGATGACCTAGTTTTGACCTTGCAGGAGCCAGAATCTAGTACGAAAAGAGTATTACAACTGATTCATGATTTTGGTCGGGTGGCGGGATTTAAATTAAACAAACAGAAAACTAAAGTTTTGGGAAAAAACTTGACAGATACTGAGTCAGAACGGTTTCAGAGAGAGACAGAATTAAATGTGGTTAAAAAAGTAAAGTACCTAGGGGTAAACATGACAGCAAAGAATTTGAGTCTATTTAAGGATAATTATGAAAAATGTTGGTCAGAAATTAAGAGAGACCTAGACAGTTGGTCAAAATTGAAACTTTCATTGTTAGGCCGAATTGCTGCTATCAAGATGAATGTATTGCCAAGAATGTTGTTTTTGTTTCAAACACTTCAGATTGTGGACAGGACGGAGTGTTTTCAGAAGTGGCAGAGAGATATTTCGAAGTTTGTCTGGCAGGGCAAAAAGCCCAGAATTAAGTTTAAGATATTAACTGATGCGAAAGAAAGAGGGGGCTTTGCCCTGCCGGACTTAAAGTTGTATTATGAGGCCGCAGCTTTCTGCTGGCTAAAAGATTGGCTACTTCTCGAAGGCACTGACGTGTTGGACTTGGAAGGGTTCAACAATGCTTTTGGATGGCATGCATACCTATGGTATGATAAGGTTAAAATCAATAAGGCCTTTAAGAACCATATTGTCAGAAAATCATTGTTTAATGTCTGGACTAAATATAAAGACTTGCTGGAAAACAAAACTCCAAGGTGGCTTTCACCTTTGGAAGCAAAGGCCCGAAAAAGACTTAATATGGAGGCTAAGTGGCCAAAATACTGGGAAATATTAGAAAAAGATGGAGACAATTGGAAATTGCAGAGTTTGGAGAAAATGAAGGATAAAGTGTGTGACTGGTTACACTATGCCCAGATTAAAGAAGTTTTTAAAAATGATAAGAAACTAGGGTTCCAGGTGGAGAAATCGAAACTAGAAACAGAACTGTTAGAACCAATGACTAAGGTACTTTCTAGAATGTATAACTTGTTGTTAAAATGGAATACACAAGATGAAATGGTTAAATCGGCTATGATAAGGTGGGCGCAAGATATTGGGCACAATATTATGTTTGAAGACTGGGAAAGGCTGTGGAATAAAGGGATGAACTTTACTGCATGTAATGCTTTGAAAGAAAATGTAATGAAAATGATATATAGATGGTATATGACCCCAGTCAAACTTGCAAAAATATACCACCTGTCTGACAATAAGTGCTGGAAATGTAAAGAGAGTGAAGGAACATTCTTTCACCTCTGGTGGACATGCCCTAAAGTGAAGGCTTTCTGGGAAATGATTTATAATGAATTGAAAAAAGTATTTAAGTATACCTTCACTAAGAAACCAGAGGCCTTCCTTTTGGGTATTGTCGGCCAAGGGGTGGTAAAGAAGGACCGCACATTTTTTATGTATGCAACAACGGCAGCAAGGATACTTCTTGCGAAGCACTGGAAAACTCAAGATCTACCCACACTGGAAGAATGGCAGATGCAACTGATAGACTATATGGAACTGGCTGAGATGACCGGCAGAATCCGTGACCTGGGAGAAGAGAGGATGGAAGAGGACTGGAAGAAATTTAAGATTTATCTAGAAAAATATTGTAATTTGATTGAACGTTAAGCAGGATGCTAGATCATAAATAACTGAGCACCACTAAATTAGATGATATGGGACGACAAGTGAGATTGAGAGAATATAAATTTTATTAACTATTACATTATAAATAAATAGATGGGTTACAAGAATGCAAATAAGATGATGATTTGCTGGCACTAGCCTATAATGATGAAGGTGGGAGCGGGAGACGTGAGGAAGTCCAAGAAAGATATGAAAATATGATATGACATATGTTATATTCTGTACTATATTTTATTTGTATTTTAAACTATAATAAACATTTATTAAAAAAAAAAGACATAATTGTTTCTGGCTTTAAAAAAAGTCTGGAAGCGATGCTTTGCCACATGCACCATCTACTATACCATTGGTAGTGCACAGTTGAGGTTGATTAAACCTTTTTAGTTGGCCAATAAATTGAACCAAACTGCTGCATAGTTCAGGGACAAGTCTTCCCTTTCCAGTTCATTTACCAGTAAGACAATTGTTGTCTTGCCCCTATAAATCTGACATTTAACTCAGTGGACATTCCCTCTGTAATGACAACTGGCAGTTTTAAGTGAGACCTTCACAGGTGGATCTGCTCCCTGAAGCAATTTTATCTGATCCATGGCAGCACTATCAAATTTTAATCAAAGTGTAGCTCAACATTTGCCCACAGTTTTGCTCAAAAGGAAAAAGCAGAATGTTTTCCAAGCTATATGGAAAAGAGATAAGACCTACTTTAGTGTTACATATCACCTTGAATGCCTATTTATATCTGAGTATGTGTGTGCTCCATATTCGTGAAATCCTTATTCTAGGTCAGAGGTAAGCAGGTTTCAGACTTGGGAAAAACTGTTTCTGTTTTTTACTACACTCCTTTTTTTGGTTACTTATTACTACACTTATATCCCTTTTTTTTAAACTCCAAGTGAAGGCAGTCACTTGGAGTAGAAAACACACACACTTAGAATTAAAGATCTGTGAGCCCAGGAATTTGCTCTGAGTAATAGAACTGTTCAGGACTCGCATTCCTTCCACACAAAAACTACCCTAGTTCCCCTAAGCTTTCTTCATTTTGGCAGTATAATTTAAGGTTGGGGCCTTGTGGGGGAGGGGGAGTCGTTTTGTTGTTGCTCTTATAAAGTAACTAGGCCTCAGAAATCCTTGCTTGATTTACAGCAAACGATTCTCAAGATGTATTAATAGATCCCAATCTACTTACTCACCCCCGTTCTAGATGCGACTAGTTTTATTATCAAGTCTGACTGCTCACAATGGAAGTCAATTTGTGTGACCTCCACATTTTGGAGAATAGAGAAAACCATAAGGCAGAGAGTATAAATGTGTAAAACTGCAAACTTTCCTCAGAGGAACTTGCCTAAGTAGGAAGACCCTCTGCTTGGTTTCTGCCTGTTGCTCCCAGCAATATTGCTTCAAATAAAGACAGATCTTTGCAACCCTGAAATAATTCCCAAAGACTGGTTTTCTTCCACACCATCCCTGTGCTAGTATTTTCAATTAATGGGGAATGCAATCATTTTTTTAAATTATAAAATGCTATCAACCAATGTATGCTTTAATACCTGCTGTTGGCTTTTAAGGAAATATTTGAATAACCTCTTCCATCAGATATGTGGAGGAAGAAAGTCTTCTTTCCCCCCTTTTTTTAATACAATCTAGGTCTTTACATTTGCTAGCTATAGCCCACTCTTTCAGCTAGTGCAATATGTTCTGCTGTTTACTGCATCAGGTTTTACTGCAGACAATAAAAAGTTTTTGAACTTTCATGTCAGTACTGCTTTAGTATATATTCGACATATCTTGGGAACTAACTTAAGACACACAGTAAAAAGAAGAAAGAAATGTTTGTTTTATCCACATTACTTGGGCTAGAGCTTGATCCATACAATGTCGCTTTAGAGCTTGTGCTTCACATTGGTCTCCAAAGAGCTCTGTGCATGCCCAAAGGCACCATATCTTTGCCATTGCTTTATAGATTCCTGAGCCCTGCTAGGCTAGGTCTTATCTTGGAAGAACCTGGCTGAAATTAAACCATTAATGTTTGACCAGTTTAGACAGCTCTTTTTGTTATTGCTCCTCCCCAAGTTCTGGAGAGTAGCCCAGGCTTTGAAGTGAAAACAGGGCCCTTTTCAGTGCCTTGGTTCAAATTAAGGTCTGGACCAGCACCACCCCACCCCACTACAATGTTCATGAAGAAAGCCAGTGGGGAGTTTTTATATTTACTGTCTCTGCCCTGTTAGCATCAAATGGCCATTTGCTAATAGCAGCTGTGGTGGTGTGGCATGAGTTTTGTTTGAAATGTGATAGAGAAAGGAAGGGTTAAATCTCCATAGCCCTGACCCTGTTTGGGGTCCTACATACATGTCATTTCAGATACATATGTACCGGTAACTTTGACACATTTAGTGCTTCCTGTGGTTTGGCTCTTGATCTGCAATTCTGAATTTCTTTTCTTGACACATGAACCGAAACAATAAGATATATACAACTTGGACCAAGCATGCTGCCTCACTTGCTTAAAGTGAGTGGTTTTACAGACTTGGAAATCCTACACAGCTGGTACTGATGACTTCATAGCAAGACTCCTAGTGTTGCCATCTCAAATGTCAATTGTCCCCCAAAACTGCTGACAAGGAAGCTCAAAACACCACAGTTCCCTTAATGCCTTAGTTCCTCCCAGTCATAGCTTCTATTATGTCAGCTTTTCTGTTTCAGGATTTCTTTGCTACTATTAGGACTTGTGCTTAAAATGAAATAAAAAACCCCTATAAAGGTTAAGAAATCAATGAAGTAAAAATAAAAATTAAAGCTGTGAGGAGATAGCAATAGCATTGTCTGGTCTGAGAAACATTGCTTCTGTGCATGCACAAAGTACTACTAAACAGCTGGATTTTCAGATGGCAACAGACTTCAGACTTTCCTCAGCTGCCAGCACATTATTATTTTTCTTTTTATAAATGAAGCCTCTTCATCACAACCAGTAATGAATATACAGACTTTCAGGGTTTTATTATTATTATTAAATTAAAACATGTCCCCATACAAACACCCCATGAACTTCACCCTCAAGTAACTCAGTGATTGAATGGAATCATCCAGGCCCCAGTAAAACAAGAGAGAGTGTAAAGCCTCATAAATAACAAACAAAAGTCCAGAGAGACAAAGAAATCCTGATAACAGGATTTCCTGAGGAAACTGAGCGAAAACAGTATATAATTTGAAGGGAAAGGCACAGAGAGATTTTGTCTTTCTTGCTTTGTACATTGCAGGACAACATTCATTTGCTACCCTGGGCTCCTTCAGGAGGGAGGGCTGGATATAATTTCAACAAATAATAAATAATTCAACCAAACAGAGTGGAAAAGTTCCCTCACAACTACCCAACCAATCAGAGCACCCTTTACCTCAGCGCGCACTAGGCCGTTCCGACTGATTGCTAAGCCACACATCCTCCCATCCCCCTCTCAGCTAGTTGACTTTAATGTTACTAATTTTTAAGTCACACATGAAATCATCTCTGCTGTTATGCTTGCAACAGTGGGATTGTGTGTGTCCTGAAGCCCTGGCCTACCTGGCAGCAAGTGAGTATGTCAAGTCCAAAGTCCCGGGATCAAGCCACACAAGCAAAGCTCAGGAAACACAACCCAGAGTCAATCCAAGTAACCAAGTCCCACACTCAGGATACAGTCCAGAGTCAAACCTAAAGCACAGTCCCGTAGAGGTTGAGGAACATCCAAGCTCCATCAACATGAGCAATTGAGCAGATCCAGCACCTCAGCTCTGCTGCCCTTCCACACTGGGTATGTTGTTTGCAGCATCTGAGCTTGATGAGGGAGCTGACCCTCACCTGTTTTGAGGAATGGCAAACCTCCTCCCAGAGCTAGTGAGCCCCACCTGGCCAGCTAGGGAGCTGGGCTGTGGGGCCCTGCCTGCCTTGGCCTCCTACAGTGCTGCTCCCTATGCCTCAGAGCCAATGCCTTCTCTTCTTCTACTTCCATGGTTCGTTTTACATATCATATGTCCCTGCATATTTTAATAGCACATTCAAGGCAGGGGGGCAATTTACATCAGGTAAATGGTACAGGGAGAAAGGATTAAGCCTCTCATGCAACAAAAACTGCTCCAAGCAAATTTGGACCTCTCATCCTCATGACTGCTTTTACATTAAAAATAACAATAATGACAGGCAATCCAGTAACATATTTCCTGTATCTTATTTGGTTTGGACTTCAGAAATTGATGCCTCTCGGGCATGCAAGATTTGAAGTGCCCACACAACATCACTGGAATAAAAATGTCAGCCTGTATCCCCCTTCTCATTTAACATAGGCTGAACCTCTTGGGGAAATCCAATAACTAAGATAAAACATGTTTCTAATGACATGTTTGCAATATCCCAGTGTACTGTTTGCAAATTAACACACACACACCCGTAAGCACCCTGAGAGTAGCATTTCCTATATGTTTTTGAAAGCTGTTTGTTCACTATGTATTTGGACACCTCTTAAGATACTGGAGAAAGAAAATCCCCCCCCCCAATTGGTTGGTACTTCCCTCCCGGTTCTCTTGTATGTGGATGACGCAGTGCTAATTTCCTTCTCCTGTGTGGGCCTAAGAAAACTTCTAAGATCTCTCACAGCCTATTGCAAAACTGAACAATTAACAACCAACTATACTAAAGCTAAAATTTATGGCGTTCTCTAAAAAAAGAATGAGACACAAATGGAGAATTGACAATCGATCCATTGAATCGTTTAAATACCTGGGCATAACTTTTCAGGAAAATGGCTCATGGCATTACCAGGTTAAAAAAAGAAAAGTAGATTTTGATTCTTCAAAAAAACAAACAAACAAACAAACAAAAAAAACCTATTGAAAATACCCAAAGGTCTACCAAAGCTATTATAAGGTTTTTCTATGGGAAAAGGGGCCAATATATTCTGGCAGCCTCCCAGGTCTTTGCTGCAAAAGTATTAACACAACTGACATACAGCTCCCAGATTTGCAACTTCCTAAATCTTTCTCCCCTAGAATCCTTCCAAACTAAGTTTTATCGCTGCCTGTTAGGGATCCCTTCCTGTGTATCCAATATAGCTGTCCGCTTGGAGGTTGGGCAAATCCCCATTAATGCTCGGATATGGATCCTGAAGATCCATTATTGGTTAAAACTTATTTCCCCCCCCAGTTGGGTTGGCTCCCTTAACCCTACTGGATTCCTAACAATCCAAATGGAAAGCTACACTGCATGAAAAGCTAAGAGGCTTGGGGTTCTCCCCACAGGCCCTGATAGCTGTAGGTTATGAGAAAGCTAGAGCAAATTTGGGATGTGGAACTACAATGCCATGTGAGTGAGATGAATAAACACCCAGCAATAAAAGACAATGGGAGAGGGTTTACCCCAGCAATATATTTATCAAAATTACAAATAGCCAAATACAGATGGTCGGTCACCCTTGCTAGATTCAACGTGCTCCATCTGCCTTATTGCAGGGCAGATTTGAGGGTAAACCATACATGGAACGAGTCTGTCCCTGCAGCTCGATGGAAGTAGAAACTGCCTCTCATGCCTTGTTACGATGTAGTTTCTATGGGGACATACACTTGGCATTTATCACCCCTGCTATGGAAAAATCTTCAAAGGGGTCAAAACTCCAATGTTTAAAATCTCTTGTAGAGGACAAAGATTCAGAGATCATGTTAAAGGTCGCCAAATTTTGTGCGATTGCTATAAAACTTTGGAAACAAGTTGTGATATCATCATTATTAAGGTCTTAAATGACTACTTCAGTTTATATTTTAGTGAGTAAGATCTAGTTTATATATTTTAATTGCTGCTATATCTGTACTGTCCCTGTTATACCGAACTGCATATTTAAATGTATCCCTGTTTTGTTTAATGATTTCGCTGATTTTGTATGTGAGCTGAAACTGGTCTGTGACCGAAATAATATATTCATTCATTCATAACCAAATTTTGCATGATGGTTCCTGAGATCAAGTAGCAGGCTTTTGTGTATGATATGATTGGATGCCATTTTGAATGAAGATGGCACCCTAAATCTTTCAAATCCATGCTGATTTCAGTCACTGTTTTCAAAAGTGCACTGGTTTGTGTTTTTTTTTGGGGGGGGTTTTTTTTTGGTTTCTTAGAATTCCCAAGTGAAGTTGGGTATGAGGCTGTTTTTTAAAAAAATACTGAGTATAAAAGAAATTGGCAACAATGTCCAGGAAACTCAAGTGTTAGGACCACATGGTTTTATAGTTTGGAGAGCACTTTTGCCTAGCTGGCATGTAGCATTAAGCCAAACCATGATTTAACATGATTGAGCAAGCCTGCATTTTCCCAGAGCGAAGATAGTGACTACAGTGCTCCTCTCCTGCTGTTGCCACAACATCCAAGGCCAAACCTAGCATTATGTCCATACCTGAGCTCATTCCAGACAAAACTGCAGATAAGGTTTGTTCATGGTTTGTCTGCAAAAGATATACCAAACAAAATGCTAAGTCAAATTGTTTATGTAGTGTAGTTTCACCCTGGGCCAACAGGGGGATAACTGTATATAGTTTTCACTCAGGTCTGTAGATTAGTTTTTCACTCAGGTCCGCGCCAGTTATTTTAGGCGGGAACTCTGGGCTGTTGTGGTTACAATGTTGACAGCCGGCTGCCTATAAATACAGGCCGCTGAGCTGTTCGCAGTCAGTTCTACTCCAGCTTACCAGAATAAAGAGCTACTTGAAAAATCGCTGTGCGGCTGCTATGTCAACCCACGACTTAACACTGGCGACGAGGATGGGATAGATGGAATCAGAGCACAGCCAGATGCGGCCAGCCTCTGAACTGAGCTGAATCACTGAGCTGAATCACAGAGCGAAAATCACTGGAGCGAAATCACTGGGCAGAACCAATTCAGAGCTGACTGTTCTGGCTAGAGCACTGTGTTCCATCCATCGCCCTTCACGCCGGCATCGGAATCATGGCTTCACTTGTGCCTCTACCGCCGTTTGCGCCAGCCTCTGAACCATGGGACTCCTACCTCGCTCGGTTCGACTGCTACCTCCAAGCCACGAGCTGACAGCAGTATCAAAGGATCGGAAGCGGGGCCTATTCCTCAGCCTCTGTGGGCCTGAGGTGTTTGAGACGGCCCGAGCGTTGGTTGCGCCTGAAGCAGTCCAGGCAACACCATGGGACACGATCCAAGAGAAGCTCCGCAACCACTACGCACCAAAGCCGTCCAAGATTGCTGCCCGCCATGCGTTCTACCACCGGAACCAGGCAGAGGGGGAGTCAATCAACAACTACACCACCGCCCTGCGACAGGCCTGCAATGCACTGTGAGTTCCGAGACTTAGACGATGCCCTGATGGATCGAATCGTCTGCGGGGTCCGGGACATCCATCTGCAACGGCGTCTCCTAGCCAAGCCAGACCTCACGCTACAGAAAGCCATTGAGGAGGCTTGTGGCCTCAGAAGCTGCTGAACGCTCCGCCCAGGAGATCCGCAAGTCCAGCAGCCCGCGTCTTGCTAGGGAAGCCAGTTCCGGTGCATCATGAAGAGGCCAGCAGTGAGGAGGCATCCTCCAGTGAAGACGATGACGTGCACCAGACAAAGCGGGAGCGCAGGAAGTTCCAACAGAAGTCCAAGGGCCAACCGGAATGTGCTGGCTGCGGAGGCAACCATTCCCGTGTCAAGTGTCGATTCAGAGACGCCATCTGTAGGAAGTGTTCCAGAAGGGGCCACATCGCTAAGGTCTGCCGATCGGCTTCCGTCTGACACCCCCCCTTCATCGACTCGCAAGTCCAAGTCTTCACTCCAGTCTGCCAAGGAAAGTTGTTTTCGCTCTCACCAACTGCCGCTGCCCGTCTGGAACCACGATTGGCCAAACCGACTCGCCTACACGACGCAAAGCTGAACGTCACGGTGCTCATTGAAGGAGCTCCATGTGACATGGGAGATCAACACCGGGTCTGCCCTGTCCATCGTGTCATGGAGCACCATCAAAAGACTGGTACCCAGAGTGTCCAAAAGGCAACTCGACTCTCACCGCGTACACCTGAGAGACTACCAGGGAAACGACATTCCCGTGGTAGGCGTTGGCCGGTTCCGGATCGCCTTCAAGGATTTTTCGGGGCCTGCTCCGGTTGGTGGTGGTCGAAGGTCAGCGGCCAAGCCTCCTAGGGCTAGACTGGTTTGATGCCCTCGGCCTGGAAGTCACCGGCATCAACTGCATCTCTAACGCAGAGACTGAGGGTCTGGTCAAAGACTTTGCCGAGGTTTTTGACGGCACCTTGGGCCAATATACAGGTACGCCCATCTCCTTTAGCCTTGATCCACAAGTCGCCCCCATCAAGCTAAAGCCACGCCGGGTTCCCTTTGCTCTCAAGGCTAAGGTGGACGAACAACTGGACAAACTGATCGCCCAAGGAGTTTTGGAGCCGGTTGACCACGCAAAGTGGGAAACCCCCATCGTCACGCCTGTCAAGCCAGATGGGTCGGTGAGAATCTGCGCTGACTACAAGTGCACGATCAACAAGGCACTTCAGCAGCACGCTTATCTGGTTCCTGTTGTCCAACACCTGCTGCATTCCCTGGGTGAGGGTAAGGTCTTCGCTAAGCTGGACCTTGCCCAAGCCTATCAACAACTGCCAGTCGATGATGCCACTGCTGAAGCCCAGACGATCGTCACCCACCGGGGGGCATTCCGTTGCCGCCGGTTGCAGTTCGGGGTGAGTGTGGCTCCTGGCATCTTCCAAAGCCTTATGGAGCGTCTCCTGCAAGGGCTTCCGGGCGTGGTACCATATTTTGATGACGTCTTGGTGTCTGCAGACTCACACCAGCAGCTGTTCGAGCGCCTCCGTGCCATGCTGACCAGGTTCCAGGAGGCCGGGCTCAAGGTAAAGAGGGAGAAGTGCCAGATCGCCGTTCCACAGGTAGAGTTCCTGGGCTATCTTATCGATGCCTCCGGTCTTCATCCAACCACATCCAAGATCCGCGCTATCCAGCAGGCCCCCACTCCAAAGAACAAAACGGAGTTGCAGGCATTCCTGGGGCTGCTGAACTTTTATAACATGTTCCTGCCCCACAAAGCCACAGTGGCTGAGCCTCTTCACCGACTCCTTAGCACTAAGACGCCTTGGGCCTGGGGTCATCGGGAGACGGCGGCCTTCAACGCGGTCAAGGCTCTCCTTTCTTCAGACAGTGTGCTGGTACAGTACAGTGAATCCAGGCCGCTGGTCCTTGCCTGCGACGCCTCACCTTTTGGCATCGGTGCTGTCCTTAGTCACCGTTTTCCAGATGGAAGAGAAGCACCGCTCGCCTACTTTTCCAGGACACTATCTCCGACGGAACGGAATTACAGCCAGCTCGACAAGGAGGCATTGGCACTTGTGGCTGGAGTGAAAGGGTTCCATGAATACCTCTATGGCAGGGCATTACCAGGTTAAAAAAAGAAAAGTAGATTTTGATTCTTCAAAAAAAACAAACAAACAAACAAACAAAAAAAACCTATTGAAAATACCCAAAGGTCTACCAAAGCTATTATAAGGTTTTTCTATGGGAAAAGGGGCCAATATATTCTGGCAGCCTCCCAGGTCTTTGCTGCAAAAGTATTAACACAACTGACATACAGCTCCCAGATTTGCAACTTCCTAAATCTTTCTCCCCTAGAATCCTTCCAAACTAAGTTTTATCGCTGCCTGTTAGGGATCCCTTCCTGTGTATCCAATATAGCTGTCCGCTTGGAGGTTGGGCAAATCCCCATTAATGCTCGGATATGGATCCTGAAGATCCATTATTGGTTAAAACTTATTTCCCCCCCCAGTTGGGTTGGCTCCCTTAACCCTACTGGATTCCTAACAATCCAAATGGAAAGCTACACTGCATGAAAAGCTAAGAGGCTTGGGGTTTCTCCCACAGGCCCTGATAGCTGTAGGTTATGAGAAAGCTAGAGCAAATTTGGGATGTGGAACTACAATGCCATGTGAGTGAGATGAATAAACACCCAGCAATAAAAGACAATGGGAGAGGGTTTACCCCAGCAATATATTTATCAAAATTACAAATAGCCAAATACAGATGGTCGGTCACCCTTGCTAGATTCAACGTGCTCCATCTGCCTTATTGCAGGGCAGATTTGAGGGTAAACCATACATGGAACGAGTCTGTCCCTGCAGCTCGATGGAAGTAGAAACTGCCTCTCATGCCTTGTTACGATGTAGTTTCTATGGGGACATACACTTGGCATTTATCACCCCTGCTATGCAAAAATCTTCAAAGGGGTCAAAACTCCAATGTTTAAAATCTCTTGTAGAGGACAAAGATTCAGAGATCATGTTAAAGGTCGCCAAATTTTGTGCGATTGCTATAAAACTTTGGAAACAAGTTGTGATATCATCATTATTAAGGTCTTAAATGACTACTTCAGTTTATATTTTAGTGAGTAAGATCTAGTTTATATATTTTAATTGCTGCTATATCTGTACTGTCCCTGTTATACCAAACTGCATATTTAAATGTATCCCTGTTTTGTTTAATGATTTCGCTGATTTTGTATGTGAGCTGAAACTGGTCTGTGACCGAAATAATATATTCATTCATTCATAACCAAATTTTGCATGATGGTTCCTGAGATCAAGTAGCAGGCTTTTGTGTATGATATGATTGGATGCCATTTTGAATGAAGATGGCACCCTAAATCTTTCAAATCCATGCTGATTTCAGTCACTGTTTTCAAAAGTGCACTGGTTTGTTTTTTTTTGGGGGGGGGTTTTTTTTTTGGTTTCTTAGAATTCCCAAGTGAAGTTGGGTATGAGGCTGTTTTTTAAAAAATACTGAGTATAAAAGAAATTGGCAACAATGTCCAGGAAACTCAAGTGTTAGGACCACATGGTTTTATAGTTTGGAGAGCACTTTTGCCTAGCTGGCATGTAGCATTAAGCCAAACCATGATTTAACATGATTGAGCAAGCCTGCATTTTCCCAGAGCGAAGATAGTGACTACAGTGCTCCTCTCCTGCTGTTGCCACAACATCCAAGGCCAAACCTAGCATTATGTCCATACCTGAGCTCATTCCAGACAAAACTGCAGATAAGGTTTGTTCATGGTTTGTCTGCAAAAGATATACCAAACAAAATGCTAAGTCAAATCATGGCTTAAATCACAGCAGTCCAGGACTGGAGGAGTCAAGGGTGCTGCAATGAAATATTATTTCCCAAAACCTACATGTTTTCTCTGTCACATGAAGCCATGGTTTGGCCTGTTGTTACATTGCATGTGAACTGGATCTTTGTGTCTCACCACATTTCCCAATGGGCCAAGAGGGATTATGTAGGCTGCAGAGAAAGTGGCAGGTTTGCTAGAGAAGTAATTAGTTTTTCTTATGCTTGAGACATTTTCACTATGAGCCCAATCGTATTTAAAATACTTGGATAGTACTGCACCTTACTGTTTAATCATCAGAATCCTGAAAGCGGTGGCATGAGAACAAGACTCTAACACACACTTCTCAAACCTTACATGCTTCTTAAACCTTTTATGTCAATGAGACTACTCTGGAATAGCTTGGAAGACTGCAGTCATGTCTCTTATTAAATCACTTACACCCTTGAAAAACTTGCCCACAGTCATTATTTGTCTTTTGCAAAATCAATTCTGCTTCTCAAGGCCAAGTGATTGCCATCATGTTAAATCATTATGATAATTTACGTCCTTGATAGCAAAAAGTAGGAGAAAGATGTGCAGCCTGCTGTTGTGCACATTTACTTGAAATAAGTTCCATTTAGTTCATTAAGACTCTTCACATCTAAGTTACCATCATAGGATTGTGGCTGTTGGTTGTCGCTGGGGTGTGTTGTTGTTGTTGTTGTTGTTGTTGTTGTTGTTGTTGTTGTTGTGATCCAGCTAGGAGACATACATGCACATTCATTTTCCACTGGATGCTGAGCATCTACATGGCTGTTGTATGTACATAAACAGTTGTTCAATTCACCCATCAGAGCTGCAGCTAAGTGGTGTGCCTTTGGGACCAAACTATGCTGCATGGGAGATACGAGATACATGACTGGGTTTCCTGGTGTTTTACTTGCAAACAGTGCAGAAGGCTCTAACTTAGACTGGACCAGTGGTGCTGTGGCAGATACTTAACCCTCTTCCATCATGCCACCAAGCCATTTACCAAATCTAAATCCCATTTCTTGCCACAGCTGGTGTTAGCTCTGTGGTGGTAAAAATAGAGATCTATTTATTGTCCAGAGGATGAAAGCAGCATTAGAGAAGGGAGATTTTTATTTACAAATGACATGTGAGAGCAAATTAAACTCTCACCCTAGCAATGTTGCTATGATTCAAATAGCCATCCCACTCCAGGCAATTGTCTTTATGAGACCTGATCACAGATTTCTCATGGCAGATAGCAACTAAACAATGCTGATCAGCTGTTGCGGGAGGTTGTGACCATAGGAGTGGGACAGAATTTAGTTTCCTGCATTTAAAAGTAAACCTACCTAATTCTCACTTTCTGAAACAATGCACAAACTTAAACAATCCTTCAAAATATACACACCTCTGAGTTTTGCACTGCTGTTCTGCAGTCAACTAATGTGTACAAAAATGCATTTACTGAGGCAAAATGTGTGCCTAAAGGTACATATGTGAGTGAAAGTTGCATGCAAAAACGCATTAGGATAAATTGTTTTTCAAAAATGTATATACAGTGGTATATACAGGTTACGTATATACAGGTTATGAACTTAATTCGTTCTGGAGGTCCGTTCTTAACCTGAAACTGTTCTTAACCTGAGGTACCACTTTAGCTAATGGGGCCTCCCACTGCCGCCGGTGCGCGATTTCTGTTCTCATCCTGAGGTAAAGTTCTTAACCTGAGGTACTACTTCTGGGTTAGCGGAGTCTGTAACCCGAAGTGTTTGTAACCCGAGGTACCACTGTATTAGGCAAAACTGCATACATCAGGAGAAATGTGCACGAAAATGTTGACAAATTTTCATGGGGACTTTAAAAAAGCAAACTTATGTGGAAATGTGGAGGACTGAACGGAAGACTGGAAAAATGAGAAATCAAGACAAACTGAAACAAACGGATTTTCCTATCCTTAGTTGTGGATTTAGTTCCCCTTCTCTGCTCCCTGTTGAACTGCTTATTGGTGGTCTGTAGAGCACTACACTACTGTAGAGCACAGCTGATAGGCCATCTTCTATAAGAACAATAAGCAGAATGCAACACCTTACATTGTTATTGTCTGGATGGCTTTTAAAATATCCATTATGGCGGCTCTTAATCCCACTGTTTTGTTTTGTCCTAGCAATAAGAAACTGCTGTGCCCAAGGGAACTCCAGCCTATGAGTTCTGCTTCTGATTGAAGAAGGCTATTTGAATCTCCATTTTCTTTGAAGAAGGCAGCCTAGAACAGGAACTGACTCACCTGCAATGTTGTATGTATAAAGAAAAATGTCCAGGAAATAAAGAAAATAACTATCATCACTGCCCCAAAGGGAATCAAATTACAAATTCATGACTTCACTGTAATCTGTTTTATTGCTGCTGAATGCTTTATTGGATCTGTGCAACCCCCTGCAGATAAGCTCAGAAACACGGCATAACCTACGGTAGAACATCTTTCATGGCTGTAAATGTTAATCTCATTATAAGGAGATTAACAATTCACAGACATGAAATTCTGGAATCATGTGCCCATGGTTTTCTCTCTCTTTTCTTTCTGAAGAGTTTATTCTTTAAATACCTAAATGCACATCATCTACTGCATATCTAAATGCACCACACACAAGAAAAATCAATTAATTCCTTAGGCATTAAATGAGAGTGATTGGAGCTCATTTATGTTGATTATCTACAAAACAGCTGCAATTGCTAACAATACAATTGTTTTATGATAACATTAAACAACCAGTTCCTGAGAAATTTAGGGCTTGGCCAGGCAGAAGCAGTAATGTGCTTGGCTCATTCTTCCTCCATTTCTTTTCCTGGAAGAAGCAACCCAGCCCAAGGTTGTTTAGCCATTGAAAAGGACAGACATTTTGATAACAATCCCAGTGCTGCTAATATCACAAAACCCCAAAGGGTTCAAAGTCTAGTTTTAGGCATACTTACATGGAAGTAAGCTTCTTAAAATCACTGCAAGTTTTTTCAGTGTAAATGTGTTTAAGACTTGGGATTTGGTCATATTACTTTCCAGATAACCTTACAATTCACATTGATCAGAGATGGCTGAAGGAAGAGAAGGTTAATACAGAATTGGATGGGGAGGGCAAATTATATACAGCAGTAGTGGGGGACTTCTGATTGCAGGCCTCTTAATTCAACTATGACTACCTGTAGGCTATGACTACTTGTCAGTCACCTGACATCATATGACATCAGGTGCAAGATAGGTAAAGCTATGCTTCCAATGGAAGCCATTGAGTGGCCCAGACGGCCAGCTGCTTTGCTCCAGCCAGAATCTTCATAGACAGAACTCTATACTATAGCTGTATTTTAAGAAAGCAATTTAAAAGCTCGCTTTCTTAAGCTCGCTTTCCCCCTCCTCCCTCCCATTCCTCCTTCCTCATGTGTCATGCTTTTTATAATCTACTCTAAAAGCCTTCTAAGGTTATAGATGCCTTATATAAATAAAAGAAATAAAGTTCCATGAGAGAGGGAAACATCTATCTCTGCACCCTAGACTGAGCTTGGAAATGTACAGGAAGTTTGTACAGAACCAGAGCATTATGCTCCAGCCAGCCAACCTCTTCCAAAGGCCTGGTGGAAAGGAACTGTATGCTAGGATACTGCCCCAAATTTCATCACGTGAAATGTAAAGGTCTCGCCACTTTCCAAGTTAACAGGGTTGCAAATGGGTGTTTTTTCTGGAAACATTTAACATGGAAATGAGTGCTAAACTTCCAATAGATTCCACTAGCCTTTCAGAAGTGGCTTCTATGCCATGTGAAGGATCACATAAAACATGGAAATCATCAGCTAAGGACTCGCCAGGAAAACAGAATGAAGAGCTGCCTCAGTGCAGCCCAAGGATATTTGACTGCCACTGACATTACAATCTTTTTGGTACAATGTAAATACATTATTATCTGCCCAGGCACCTTAAATTGGTTTCATTGCCTCTGCATGGGTTATAGTTGGTTTCCAGTTGTATTCCAGTTTTATTGAATTATGAAGAATGCATGATATGATTTTTTATTAATTTTTTATTAATTTTATTTTATTCATTTATATAAAAATAGTACACCACTGTGGAATCCACCAGGATATAGGGTGGGCTTAGAAATCTTTAAAATAAATAATAATTAATAACCTTATTTTGTTAATTACAAATGACTATCAATGGTGTCTGCAATCCTGTACTCTTATCAGTTACTCTGGATTTTTTACAAATATTTTTTGTACATTACAGGTTCTGAGGATCATTAAAACTATTCGGATTCAGGAGTTTGGGGCTGAAACAATGCAGCATCTAGTCTGGGACACCTTGTTTTAAGGACGTGTTGCTTTTATGTGAACTAAAAGAGCTACTTTGAAACCAGAGGTCAATTTTCAGTTACTTGATAGCCACTGAACAATGAGGCCAGACTGCAAGTGAGCAGATGAAATCGAGAACGTTTCAGGATCTGAAGGGTCTTCCTGGAACAGCATAATAAGACTGCAACCCAGGCCTTTTACATTACACATTCACTTTCATGGTTTGGGATTTAACAGAACTCCACAGTTTGGAAACGTTTTCTGAGGAATGAAAGTTTTGAACAGCAGCGGCTTTTTAAGCAGCCTTTCAACACCCAAGGAAGAGAACAAAGCCATGTCTGTTCAAGCAGCAGACCTCATTAACGGCGAGACCCACAGTAGCTCACACTGTTCGGAAAACAGTGCCTGTGTCAAGAAGTATCTCTCTGGAGGTGTGGTCAAGAGGTGCCAGGTAAAAATCTTTTGCATTGGAGTGAAAGAGCATGTGATGATCAAGGATGCTGTGGGGACTCACTGGCTTCCCAAGCAGAGCAGAGCCCAGCAACGCTTCATTTCTACCTGGAAGGGGCTGCAAGGAACGGACAGGAATACAAAGCATGATGTAAGTCCAAAACAAATGTTACTGCTATGGTTTACGCAACACGTTTCAGTCAGGTTTCAGGCTGTGGAAATGAAGTCATGCTGGTAGACAATCTGCTGTCTGGGTTTAATAAATGGGGTGCCCACCAAATGTTGCTGGGCTGCAACTGGAAGTTGAACAAGAAAGCATAACAATGCTCCCCTAGGCCATGGGTGGACTACAATTCCCATCATCCTTAGCTAGCAGGACCAGTGATCAAGGATGATGGAAATTGTAGTCTAAAAACAGCTGGAGACCCAAGTTTGGGAAACCCTGATCTAGGTGTTGTTGTACACCAGCTCACATCACCCTCAGCTGGCATGACCAATGGTCAGGGATGATAGAAGTTGTATTCCAGCAACATCTGGAAAATCACATGTTTCTCATCCTTATCCTAGACCTATGTATTTGGTGGCATTGCCCATCAGATTCTGTTTGATTGTCTGTTAGAGTTAGGAATTCATGGCATAGCCATTCCACTTGGACATAATCTTTGACCATGTCACTGCAGAGCATCCTCAGCAGGTAGGTTTAGGCAATTCCTCTCTGGGGTTTAAATCCCTTAGGGACATGTAGTATTTGCTTGTTTCAGATGGGCTCATGCCCCTTTTGGAAAGACTGGGTTCAGAAGACCTCAGTCTGGGTCTGCTGTGCAGGTTGTGTTTATAGTCAGGAACCAGGAGTTTTTTCCCCCCCCCATTTATATCTGTACTGGCTACAGATAAGGCTCTTGTGTCCATCTTCCGTTTTGTGGTAACTGCTCAAGGTTCCAGAAAATGTATGGCACTATCAACAGGTGCAGAATCAGGGGCATGCCTTCAGATGTGAATTGGACATAGGGATCAAATTTTATGTCATCTACACTAGTTAGCTGTTAGATCCAGGTATAACGTAACTTGTAGGACTGTCTGGGCTTGATTTACTGAGAAAAAAAGTTTCCCCTTTCCAGCCTTTCTGCCCCTTCTTCTGTAAGATGAACTGTGCTTCAAACTTGCTCTTCTCAGGCAGTAACTGAGGGTTTGGTAGAATGCATTTTCCATTCTGGTTTTGCAAACAAGGAATGCTTTTCCAAGAGAGACTTGCCTAGTGCCAGCCTTGTGTTGTTTTAGGAGGACAGTAATGACCCTTTTTATCCTGCAGGTGAAGGGACGCGGGTGGCGCTGTGGGTAAAAGCCTCAGCGCCTAGGGCTTGCCGATCGAAAGGTCGGCGGTTCGAATCCCCGCGGCGGGGTGCGCTCCCGTTGCTCGGTCCCCAGCGCCTGCCAACCTAGCAGTTCGAAAGCACCCCCGGGTGCAAGTAGATAAATGGAGCGGACCAACAGTCTGTCAAGGACTGCCCTACGGCAGAGGACTTACTTTTTAAACGTGCAGAATTCAGGGGCGCCTCTGGAATTGCTAGAGTTATGTCACGAAGCTGTGATCCAGAATACGTACTTGTCGCTGGGCGCTGGCCCCCGCTCTGTTGAGTGAAGAAATGGGCGAAGACCCCTAGTCTGGCAAAGACTTCCTAGGCAGGTTTTTTAGCAATATACCCTTTATCCTGCAGGTGATTTGGTAATTAGAGATCTAGATAACTGCTATGCAATTCATTCAGCTTTTAAATAATTTGCATTTGTTCTCGTTCTGATTGTATTTTATAAAATTGTGTTTTAATTGTCAGACCATTAGTCCATGTAGTTCAGTATTTTCTACACTAACTCTTCAGAGTTTCAGTCTTTCCCAGCCCTTCTTGGAGATGCCAGGCAGGGCATTGTCAAGAAGGTGATACAGGGTTATGTATGAAGCAGGCCCCAGCTGCTGCCCCCCACCGTCCCACACTTGGTTTACATGTTTAAAGAAAGTAAGTCAACTGGGAATTTACAAAGAAAGCTAGGAAGCAAAATGTGAAGGTAGCTGTTTAAGGTTCTGGCAAGCAGCAAGATTGCTAAGGACGCTTAATCCCTGATACTAAGCAATCAGTGAAAGGAATGTGGGGCATTTCCTGTAGTTTCCCTGCTGAGATTTGCTCTCCTCCAACAAAAACAGATTGCAGTGAGAAGCTCCTGATCAGGTAACACAAACAAAGCAAATGATGTGGAAATTAATGAGGAACAGGTGAAAGTGGAGTAGAGAAATTAATATTAAATGCATTACCACCAACCAACAGACCAACCCAACCCAGAAGTTGGGAGGGGAATTTCCCCAAACAGCAGTAAAACCAAGAGAAGCTTCTTGCTGCTGGTGCCAACCTGATGCAAGATGGATGTTAGCTTGGTTGTGTACTGTACACTGGGGTATGTTTGTCTAAAGACTTTCCTCTGTGTCCACATTATTTCATTCACTCCCTAAATATTCTGCCTTTATAGTATAAAACACAGTTGGCTGGCTTTGGTATGTTTGACTCCCTTCAAATAAATTCAGCTTCCTTCCTGATGAGGAAAATTTGTGATATTGGTAAGTCCCCAGCCCCTCCTCTGATTTTCTGTGTCCCCCACACAGTTACTACTGGTCAGCTTGCCATCATGGGCAGGACCATCCAAAGACATTTTGATACCTGAGGCAGACCCCAAAATGGTACTCCCTTCCCCGTCAGGGAAGAAAGGGTTATGGAAGAGCTACACCAGGAGCAAGCAGGGGCAAAGAAACATCAACATTGGGATCTACTGCTCCAGGTGGACCCTGCCACCTGAGGCAGTCACCTTGCCTCACCTTATGCATGGGTCAACCCTGACACAGAGAACCATAAAACCAAAATATAAAATGCAAAGGAATCAGCAAATCCAAGCATAAAATAATCAAAACACCCAACAGCAAGCAAGTTAAAATTCCTATAGACTGCATTGTCTGTCTCCAGTCTTAAAATCATCTCACCATTATATTGATTGCATCCATTCAGGTGTTGAACAGATTTTACTGGCAATTTGATTCACATGTGCTGACCTTTACAAGGTGTGAAGAAATTCCTGAATGCCTTCCAGGACACATTTTGAGATCAGACTGGTACGGATGTCAAGCAAATTCATAATGGAGGGTCTCCTGTAATATTTAAAGTTATGCCAGTCCTGTTACTTATGTCATGAACTACAGTAACAAACCATACAATAGGTTCAGACTGACACCCGCCCCCCATTTACAAGGTATTCCACAGAGTAAAACAAGAGGCAGTTTTCATTGCTGTTGGGGCGGGTTTAAAAAGTCAGCATATTTTATCGAAGAAAACAGGTATTTTTGTCTGCATAGAATATGATGGTTAGAATAACGCTTTTGTGCAAAATGAAAGCACCCTGATGGAGTATGTACTTAAAAGTGCTAATTGTACCTAAAGTACTACTTATAAGGAAATTCTGAGGAAGTTCCATTAGAGGATAAAATCCTCAAACCACCTTTCTATGGAAAAACCCTTTCGAAATAAGTGTGACAAACAGTGGAATTATGCATTGCTTGAAGTCCCATTATTCTCTTTTTGTGAAGGCGGTCTTCTGTCTGGTAAAGCAGCTATGGACAGATTCAGATTTTTAAAGTGGGGAGGAGGGGGAAGCAGCTGTTACCACCTTTCCTTCACTGTGGTTTGTGTGCTCAAGCCCACCCCCACCCCAATTTCTTCTCTCCTGAAGAGATAAAAGATGCAGGGATAGGGACACAACTGTGTTGTTCCACTCTATTGCTCACTGACGGGTCTCTGAATTACACCACTTGTATGATTCTCCATACAAAAAATGCACTTCCTCATAGGAAACTAGGTGCCAGTAAGAAAAGGAGATTGAGCATTCCCTTCTGCCATCCAGTTTTCTATGTGGGGAGGTGGTGATGATTAAGAACATGCAATCATAAATCCCCTACCCAAGTCCAAAGCGGAACAGCTCCAATTCAGGATTAGGCTATAATACACACTTAATGGGGCGGCAGGAGTGGTGGGAGAGCTCAAAGTAAAACGTGCTTCTGAGTCAATGTGCATGAAATTGCTCTGCCAGCATCTCAACGAAAACTAGGTGTGACATGGAAGAGCCATGAAAAGGACCTACCATTTAAATAAATAAATAAATAACAAGCGATAGTAGTGAAGCTGCATGCATGGGGTGGGACGGTGATTGGCAAATTTAGAGGGCTCCCAAAGCTGTTGTTTCCTCCACTGGGAAAAGACGCCTGCTTCATTAGGAAGTTGCACAAGTGAAAGTTTGAAAAGCCATTTTCCTCTCCCTCCATTGCACTATGGCCTTTGATCCCAATCAGGTCTCCTACATTTGTTTCTCAGTTTTAAAATGTTCATGGTGAATTGTGTTCATACATTTTGGGCATCTCATCTAATCTGACATTCATCTGGTCCAGAGTCAAAATAGGCGATCATACCCCAATTAGCAACCATTTCCATTTATTTTTGGAGGCTCTGTCAACACTTTTAATGGCACTAGGAGTTATGTGGAAGTTTTAAGCATGTGTAAACAATGTAAGATGTTTATGCATATAGTATAATCTCTCAAGCAACATAATTTGCCTCATGTTTGAATGAGGTTATTACTGTTTCTTATAAATCCAATGTGCATGGTACAACGCAATGACAACAATGAGATTTTAAAGATTCAAGTGTCAAGGAGATAAACACATTACTCTGAACCATATTTGTACTCTGCTGCTCTTTCAAATAGGCAGGTGGTTGTCTTCCAGAAAGTAAACACACGTGAAATTTGATCACCTCTCCATTGTACATGGAATAAATTATGGAAGACACTGTAATAGGATAAGCTCCTATGTAGCTCTTGACTCTCATTCTCTGATCAATGCAATAAGCAGAATTTCAGAGTTTTTGCAAGATGAAGTTGCACATTGATTTGTTTACTGTGAAATTCAGCAGGCAGCCAAGACTTGTTCTTTAGATTTTTGCAAGAAACTAGGAAGGAATGTAGTCAGCATTAAATTAGATAATTCCTTTACATTTCAGTCATGAATCTTCATCTTAAAATGAACTTAATTTAATTATAGTGATGGAATATTAAGAAAGGGATCCAGTCCATAAAATATGCAGTAAGAACTGCAACTAAGAGCTACAAGAATACTCTTCGTTCTATGAATGCCAGTTGTCTTATAAAATCAATGTAGCATATGGAATATTAGCTAAAGTTCTGAATAATACTTTTGGTGAGTTTCAGAAGCTGAAGCAGCTATCTGAATCAATTTCTTAGGGGTGGAGAAGTCCTTCTGAGTACTAAAAGGCATTATCCCTGGAATAAGTTGCATATAGCTTATTGTTCACCCCTCCTAACATCACCCTTCACTACCTGTGCCTCTTTATAAAAACCTGCCATTTGTCCAATTTGTTCCCTTTTACAGAAACACACAGAATAGTCTGGGCAGCTCAGTTGGTACAGCATGGTGCTGGTAATGCCAAGGTTGCAGCAGGTCTTATCCCAGTATGGGATAGCTGCATATTCCTGCATTGCAGGGGGTTGGACTAGATGATCCTCAGGGTCCCTTAAAACTCTACAGTTCTATGATTCTAGAAATCCCTTTACTTGAGGGGAAAGGTATGCCCCTTATACTCTTCTAAGCAGAATGTAATCTTGAAGATTTCCTACCTCTACTTTCCTCACTATTTATGCTGTGCTACTTAATTGTGAACTTTATCCTGTGTTAAACCTTCTCAAAGGCATTTCAAGGGTCATCAATAGTTTTCACTAGATCAGTCCTTTGATAAGTGCGAACAACTCTTGAGATAAGATGAAGGAAGGAATTGTCATTTCACAATAACTGTGTTTTATTTGGAATATATATACTGTATTCCTGTTCCAGAAAATAAATATGGCTTAGGTCCCCACAAAGGAAACTTAGCAGGTACAAGTCCCACAAATTCTTCTGGGTTATGAGCCCAATCTGAATCTCCAAGAGCCCATTATTTCCTCCACTGCAGCTGTCAGGTAAATGCCTATCAAAACTGCATGGAAGAGACTGTGAAGGCAACTGTTGCCTTTCAAGGAAGGGACTCACTGCTTATACAGCCAGGGAAGACTTGTTCAGCTGCCTTCAGCCACAAACTTCAATCACTTCAAACATATGTTTGTGTAGAAAAAGTGGTCCTTTAACTCTTTATAATAGTTTAAAAAATACAATTAGAGGACCATAATATCCTCTCTTTTTTCTTTTTTCTACCAGAAGGGTGCCCAAACTGTGGTCTACAGAGCACTGGTGGCCTGTGAACTTCATTCAGGTAGTCTACAGTGTGTCTGACAAAAGATGTCTAAAAAGCATTCTGCATCTAGCACAGTGCATTACAATTGCTACAATAGGCAAGAAAAGAAATCATTAAGTGGCCTCAGCAATTTTCAAGCAGGGGGCAAAGTTTGGGAACCACTGATCTAGCAGTTTCTTAATGTTGCATGAACATACAGAGCTCTGCTCTCTTCACAAGCTGCCCATGTTAATTTCAAGAGAGGTTTCACAGGCAGTTCTTTGCACAAGCTGGCCTGCTGCCTTCATTGACGTTAATGGGGAGGTGAGCTGCATGTGCCAGAATTCCAGCTGTACATGAGCAAAGTGAACTCCAGATTGAAGCATGTATGTTTTGCTCCATTTTGCATGCCCTGGGATCATTTTGAATGCTTTTTAATTATTGCTACTGAATAGGGGGCGCCATCACTAAATCCCAATTTATGCAAATTAAAATGAAGTGGTCTGACAGAGAGAGAGAGGCAGTTAATGACACCTTGCTTGCAGAGGTCATGCTGGTGTGGAAATAATGTGAAAGTATTTCATTTTATCTCAGTTTGTATCCATTGGTGGTTGGCCTGCCCATTATTTAACATAAAACTATATTGGTTCATATAAATAAGCACCTCTCTCTCCTATATCTATGTATGTGTATCTCTCTCTGGACAAAACTGCTTTTAAGAATGGAAGTGCTCTCTTATTTCTGAATTGACATGTACACAATTGCACTGTATTTAGTGAATTATGCATAATATTTAAGTACTAATTTACATTTTGGCATATTGCCAAACCAAAGAGGCAACCCAGCAAAAGAACTGTCCTTAGTCTGCTATATGCATACTAGGTGAATGTCTAAGGAAAAATCTTTGCAGGAAGGAAACCCATTTGAATAACTTAGAATGGTGTAATACATCTCAACGCTTCAGGAAAGTAAATAAAGGCTACAAAGCCTTCATTTCACCTCTACAAAAAGCATATTTTGTGTCAAATTGAGGTGAACAGCTATTGAGGTCTCTGTAAAACTCCTGGAAAATACAGATTATGTAACACAATTCATCACAGTCTAGCAACAGTATTTTTAAAAGTGCCCACTTCCAGCACATCAAAACAGGTTGGAAATGTCTCCTTACATGTGAAAGGTTGCTTGAACATTATGCTTTGCTGATTTGGGGGGTGGGTGGAGTAGAAACAGAGCTACAAGCTTCCTATAAAGAACTACAAACCAAAAATGAGACTGGCCACAAGGATGAAAGAACCGCAGTTCCTTTATTCATAGCAAACAAGGGAAGAATCTGCCATTTAATTCCAGACAAGGGATATTATCTCTGAGAGAAAAAGCATTCAAAAATCTAAATGAAAAATCTAATGCTTTTTTCATGCTGATTTATTTTTAGATTGGCAAAGTTAAACAAGATGTAAGCATGACTAGATGGAGCTCAGAAAGGGAATTGCTGTGAAGTGGGAGAGTTCTGTTTCCATGGGAGTTTGATTACAGCAGATTCCCTTGCAGTTTTGCTGTCATGCTGCTGATTCTGCAAGGTGTACTTCATAGCCAATCCGATGTCAGGGACTGGCTGGATTCAGAGGAGTGGTGGGAGGCACCAGCTGGGGAACCCCCAAGGGACGAAGGCTCAGAGCCAGGAGATTGGTAGTGAGATGATGCTGAGTGCTCAGAGGGAAAAGAGGGGGCAGGCTGGGCGGAGGAGGTGTTGGAAGCTGAAGAGGTGACAGGGTTTAGTGAGCAAGAAAAGGCTGGGACCAAGAGCAGTCCAGAATCAGAGGCAGGAGAGGAGGGGGACCAGAGGACAGAGATGGGGAAGGCTGATGAAGAAGCTCCTGTTGTGACTAGCTCCTCTCCCCCCTGATCTCCCAGAACATGCAGAGGTCTGAAGAGTGTGGAGCAGGGACAGACAAAACATTGGAGTCTCCTATTGCTTTGGGAGGACCCAGGGGAGGGGGAGACTTAGAGAGCTGTGGGAAGGTGGGGACCTTAAATCCTTGCAACATCCGTCATTGGGACAAGATCTACTGGGAAGAGTTGCTGTGATCCCAGGGCCTGAGCTGTTTAGTTTCTTTGAATAAAGAGTTAACTTCACTGACACCTTGTGAGTTATTGCTGACCTGCTCCAAACACCCACCCTGACATTCACCCAACGTCCAGTCGTGTATTATTTTATTCTCACTAAACAACAGACTTGAGAACAACTTCTATATATGTGAATTCACATCTAAGAACATTATGTGCAAGAAAAGGTAAAATAGTGTGTTAATGTTCCTAATTTAAAATAGTTTTTCCTGGGGGGGGGAGTTACTAAAGGTAATGATAACTGGAGAGGAAGACATATTTGAAATGGAACTGGTTGATAATATGATATATAATGCTATAATTAAAAGAGACTGATGAAATGAATCTTAGACGGAGAAATAATGAGTCTGTTAAAATTTGATATAGCGAGAGGATCCATTTTTACATGCACTTTGACTTTTGAAAGTTTTGAGAAATTGGATGAAGAGTTGGGCCAGGTTATACATGTAAACCAGCTTCTTCTGCATCAGGAATAGGGAACCTGTGGTCTTCCAGGTGTTGTTGGATAGGATTGTAAAATAAACAAATGCCAAACCGTCTTCAAGGCAGTTTGCAAGTAATCAATGACTACTGGCCATGCTGGCTGGGGCTGATGAGAGCTGGATTCCAAAGATGGGGTGCTGAAGATGCTCCTCACCTAGGGCACCATTTGGTGTAGGACCTCTTCTGCGTTGAGTAAGTGGGTTTGCTGCCAGGCGACTGCATGATGATTGCATCTACTTATTGTTATGATTTTGGGGTGTTAAACTGTGTGCCAGAATCCTCTAAACCCTGGTGTCTTTATGATATATAGTTTATTTACACATATACAACCTGAGATTATTATTTAATACATGAAAGCTTCCAAATGGTAAAATGATGTAAGGTGGTATTATTCATTTTTTTAAAACAAATGAGCATCATATCTCAAATGGTATCAAGCCAGCAGGTAAACAATATTTTTTGCTCCCACAGATTTGCAAGAGATTTTTGTTGTCCTCAAAAGATCACCCTCCGCAGAGAAGAAAAGAAATCATTTCTTATTCAGGTAAAGACAATCGTTTTTTGTCTGTGGGGATTTTGTTTTTGCTGGAACATTTATTTACTTCTCCTCTTATTAAGTAGTAATAATGAGACAAGCTTTTTGAAGTACAGTCTACCCCCTAATGCTGTGCCTATTGTAATGGCAAGGTGTGAAGCAGATGAGAATTTTGCAGGCAAGACAAAAGCTCTCCAGAGGAAAGGAAATGAAAAAATGGGGGTGGTGTTGTAATATCAAAAGAAATCTTGGTCATTTCATACTTCTTTGAACATATGTCCAAACAGACGCAGAGATATCATCATGATCATAATTTATTATTATATTCAAGTCACTCAAACATTGTACTGACCACACACAGCATGAACAAATAGTAGAAGGAATATACATATGTAGAGAGAGAGAGAGAGAGAGAGAGAGAGAGAGAACAAACAGAACAGCTGCTAAGGACAGAGTATACGTAATAATATAGCAGAAATGTTTAAACCTGAGGATTATTTCCTGCTTTTAAAAATAGAAATAATTCAGCAATGACTAATGTCATAAAACATTTGACTGCCTAAAAAGAATCTCCCATTAAAATAACAGGGTTTATTTATTTTAAAAAAACAAGCTTTTGTTCTAATTCACAGTACAATCCTGTGGTCCATGCTGATCTCCTTCATCCAAGTCTCCATCTATGGATGGAGAAGGAGGTCTACCCTTAGAGAGGGAGTTCCACTCTTGAACGTTGTCTGCGTGGAAAGACTGGGAGGACTTGTCCAAGATAACTGGCTGTATGTGGCAGGGTAGTAAATAGCACTCACCACCGCCGCCACCACTGCCACCACCCTCAACTCAAGGTGCATAAAACCCTGAGCCAGCCAAGTTGAGGCAGAAAATCTTACAAGTGGCTTTCTACATCTCTGGTACATCTTTATGGCACACACACAAAAATAGCTGCCTGAGTCAGCCATCTCACACTGCCTAATAGTAAGGTTGGCCCTGATTACAGTGGAGATTGAGGGAAGCTTTGGTTAAGCCTCATCCAAAGCTCTCCCATTTTCCTTACATACTCCCAGAACAGGAAGACTAAAACACTTGCCTTGAGGCCGACATATTTTCCTTCTCAATGGAACTAATATATATATATATGGAAATAGGGAAAGAAAAAGGGAAGAAAAAGCCACCCCCACCTTCTGCACTGCTGGTAAAGTTGGTCTGTTGCTTGTCACTCTTATTCTTCTTTTCTATCCTGATTCACGGTTACAGATTGTGAAAAATCTTAATAAATTAATGATAAAGAGATACCCCTGACCACATAATGCGACATTTTGTTGCAGATCCTGTACGTCCACTGCCATATATTAAATAGAGTAACAAAAAACACTTTCTCTTAGATCAAGCTATCATTTGTTTTAAAGTAAATCAGTAATCTTGAGCTGGTTCAGAATACTATAAAGTTATGGTAATTTATGAAGAAGGTTTTTTATCTTTTTATATACTGTTTATACTTTTATAAACTATTATTAACAAAAACAACACTGACTTGTATTTCAGGTTTGTTGTAGTAAATAAGATAATAAAAGTAAAACGCTTTCAGCAAGGAGCAAGTGGTATACAAATGCTTTTATTCTAAATAGGTCTTGGATTAGTATTAGAAGGAAGGCTGTTTCTTTATTCTTTTCCCTGTATTATATAGAGCTAAAAATGGATATGTCTTATTGTAAATAAGAACACTGGGGAGTATTGCTATTGAGTAATGTGTTTTTATATTGTAAACCACCCTGTGATCTTCAGCTAAAGAGCAGTATAGAAATTTAATTATTATATTTTTATTTTTTAAAAATCATTTTGAATTTGCACTCAGGGTATTTAAATTCACGTGCTGCCCAGCTATGTACAGCTTGTTCAGATTGGAGCAGAAGTCTTCTGAACTTACATACCCTCTTTAAAAAAGTCCCACCCACCCCCATCTTCGGATAAATCGATCTGGCCCTTGATCGATAAAGCCGCGACTTCAGACAGCTTTACGGTCCCAATCAATCACTTACAGCGGTCCGGCACGCTTCCTCCCAAGCTGCGCAATAACTCCTGCTGTCTCTTCTCAGTCACGGCTTTTAGCAGAGTAGAAACACAGCGTGTAAAGCAGTCTTACTCCTTGTAAGCACACATAGACAGGTTCATCTATTTACAGCTCTTTATTACAACATTTCAGCATCAAAGTCCGTCACTGCTGGCAGCCATTGCTGCAAACATGTCTCCCTCTCAGATACACAGAGGGAACTGAACTCGACTCCTCCCACCTTCGAAAACTGACGTCAGAATGGTGTGGCACCATGGGAAAAACTTAACCTGTTAAGTTCCAATCCCAACACCCCCCTTTGCCGCCCATTCTGACAAGACTCTTCTGAGTTCAACACCTTTCCCTTTGCCTTGTGCCCCTTTCCGGCATTTCTCCCAGGCACCTGTTGAACCCCTTCAGTAACACCTTGTGAGATCAATCCCACCCCCAATGCCTCGCGTCCTCCCTTGGCAGACCTGTTTGGCATTTGTGGAACCACCTCACAATCCTCAGAAACGCACTGTGCGAAATTTACCCACGCACCTATGGCTTGGTACCTCTCAGGCGGAATACCCTTTGTTGTGCGACTGGACCTCCTAGGCACAAACACAGATGTTTCCTCTGGCTCACCGTCACCAGCAGGTGTGACCTCTGCATCACGGGATTCCCCTTCTGACTTAAAGCGTCTTCGAATTCTCTCCATTACACTCACAGGAGAACTAGGCTCGCTTTTGGGTGCTCTCTTCACATCTTGTGGAGAAACTACAGATACCTCCTCCTGTTCCTGACTTTGGTCAGTGATCTGATCATCATCATCGGATTCTGAACCCTGATCCTGGACCTGGTCCTCATCAGCAGGCTCAGCCTCTCCTTCCTCCTCATCACAACCGTCCTCTGGGTCAGAGAGACAATCTGAGAGAAGATCACGCTGGAAAACAATCTTTGGCTTCTCACTCTGCTCAAAGAACTCAGCGTGTTTACTGATCAGCACTTTACTCTGATCACCTGATGGAAATGCGAACCTCCATGCACTCGCTGCTGGCTCATACCCACAGAAGATCATTTTCCGGAACTTGGATCCATCTGGCCCCTGCAAAGCAGTAGGTACCGGCACAGATGCACTTGCACCAAACATACGCAAAAAATGAATCTGGGGTTTCCTGCCATGCAACAATCTAAAGGGTGTGTCACCTACTAGCGTATTGTAGGTACGATTCCAGGTGAAGCTCACATACTTGATTGCCTCCAGCCAAAACCTTGGAGGTAACTCAGAATCTTTCAGCAACACCTGTGCAGCCTGAACCAGAGCCTGGCGTCTCAGCCCTGCCACCCCCCACTGATTGGGTGAAGTCACTGAGTGACGTATCCCTTTCTTGCGAAAGAACTTCTGCAAAGCAGAACCTGTTGACTGGGCTCCGCTATCACTGGTCACCGCTTGCACTCTGGTGGAAAACCTTTGTTCCACCTCCTCAATCCACCTTTTGATCAGCTGTGCTGCATCATCCTTGGATTTGAGACCATGGGTCCAGGTATTCTGCGTAAAATTATCCTGTATCGAGAGCAGAAACCTTGCACCTCCCAGACTCGGTTCCCTCACAGGACCCCACAAATCTATGTGCACCAGCTCAAAAGGTTTAGTGGCTACACGTTCCACCTTTGGGTAACTGCATCCTTTTACCTTTGCTAGCCTGCAGGTTTCACAATTAATGGCACTTTGACAATTTTTAATCTTACAACCTGTAACAACCTCAGGTAACACCTGCAAATCCTCTAAAGGATTGTGAATCGTTCTCTGATGCCATACGCATGCACATGTAACCTTATGAGCGGGAATTGTAGCACGCTGGTTGGGAACTGTAGCACGCAACGCTTGTGCTTTCTCAACCTTCCCCTCACCTCCAAGAGACGTTTTAAGAATGAAAAGATCATTCTGTCCCTTCCGCACTTTGGCCAGTAACCTCCCCCCTTTGGAGATCGTGCAGACATCGTTTTCAAAACAAACTTTGAACCCCTTACTTAACAAATAAGGCACAGATAACAAACAATGTTGAATCTCTGGAACAATACATAAATCCACCGTCTCCTGTAAAACAGAAAGATAGGCATTAGTACACGTGGAAACTCTAGTTTTCTGTCCATTTGCAAACTTAATAGTCTGTCCCTTCGGAACTGCCGTGCAATTCCACCTCTCGACTGCAGGGGTCTCTGGAACCATGTTGCGGTTAGCTGCAGAGTCTATTACAAAGGCCATCTCGGAATTTTCCACTCGGCCGTCTTCAAACACTGCCATACTCGCCGAGACTTGATAAGACTCTTCTCCCTGCTGTTTACCACGGCCACCTGGCTCAGTTCCACGCCTGCCTGCCTTCCCAGGCCTGTTGCCATGGAAACCCGCCTGATTCCCATGGGAAATGTCCTTCACAACATCCTGTCGCGGCTCTCTGCACCGGTGGGGGCACTTGCCACTCAGATGTTGCGCCGTGTGACGAACTCCAGTGGAAAAACACTGCCCGGGGCTCCCAGCTGGCTTGGCCCTCCTCCTTCTGGAACGGCGCCTCCCACCAGCCTCGCCCCCCCTGAAGCTGCTCTCCGCCTCAGCACAAAGGGAAAGTCCTTTAAACTTGCCTTTGGAACTCTTCGCCCCCCCGACCTGCTCACCAGCGCTCCTAGAGGCCAATACATCGGGAACAGGGCCTGCCAGTCCAGCCTTTCCAGGACTCAGTCCATCACACAGACGTGTAGAAGCATTACAACAGCTCCCCAACACTGTCCCAGCCCCCATTGGGCTTTCTGGGCATCCTTCTGCCTCTCCAGGGCTTCCTCCAGGGCTCTGGCCTTTCGCTGACGCCTCACACAAGCCTTTCAGCAAATTCCAGGCAGCCCACGCTGTCGTTACGCCCTCCAACTGAGGCCCCAGTGACGCATCAACGCATGCTTTGAGCATATTCAGCTCTTGTTGCAGCCTCTGGCTATCTTCAGCCAACACAGCCCCACAGCTT